ATAAGTCTTTACACTGATGTAGCGCCACTTGCTTTAACGCCACAAATCCCGAAGAGATGGAAATTGACTCCGGCGTGTGTACTTTGTGTAAGTGTGATGCCGCAACAACAGCCGAATTGAGCTCGGCTCTCTACGCCTTGCGCAGATCACAGCAGCTACAGTCCTGACTTACATGAATAAAAGGAAAAATGACAAACGAACAGGTTGCGTTCGGCCCACCCTGCTGATTTGGTTGCAAACGCGTTGTAGAAATCTTGCTCTAGACTGGGGTCGTTACTCCTGACCTGGCTTGGGTGCAGTTTAAAAACAGACACCTGCGACATGCCAGAAAAAACTGAAAGTCAGGGATAAATTCATCAGGAATAGCCACTGGGCCATAAGTGGAAATATTTTCTAGGATCCCCAATATGATTGGTAATTGCGGCCCGTGAACGCCCAGTCATGGTGATAACATCGGGTGATCGTGGCAGCTCACAGACTATAAAACCCTCTGCAAGCTGCTGGAGCTCAGAGCGCTGATCGAGGCCCCCTTGTGTGGGTCCCCTCAGTGTTGTCACTAAACTCACCTCGAACCTCCGCTGGACCGCGCTGTGTTAACAGAGTCGCTGGGCCAGCTCCAATCACTGACCTGCAGCCTGATTTCCCTCCCCTGCTCCTGGATGTCCACACACCTGCTGGGATTTGTTCCAGGACAGCTCTCACACAATGCGAGCACACTCCGGGCTGGGACAGCCCAGCGCGATCCCCTGCCGAGCCCGGAGACGAGGGCCGGGTGACTGTCCTGCTGGGTTCTGAGAGGTAAAACCTCTAAACGTCCGTCACTCTCTTTCCCTTTCCCTGCAGCGGCGGAGGGACGGCTGGCGGCCTCCCTGCCCCGGATGCCTCCACTCACTGGGGGCTCGACTCAGGCGAGGTGAGCCTTTCGACCTGCACCACCGCCATCTCAGATTTGTGTTTACTGGCCCGGGTGCCCTCCCTCACCAAAGATCACTTTCCAGGAATGAATTGGATAAAATTTCACATGAAGCCTTTATTTCACCAGCTAAGTCCGTTGAGAACAGGTTCTATTTTACAGTGATGACCTGGAGAGAACCATGAATACAGAACCCCACCCCTCCATAATACTGCCCACACCTACAATGTGGAACCCAAAATATGACACCCCACACCCATAATAAGTACAATTTATTGGACACCATTTGTGAAAAATCAGCACTAATATTTTCCCTGATTTAGAGTATATTTTGTGTTTATATATTCCCCAACTTTTACTAAATCTACCAAATTTCAATGAAATATCGAACCTACAAATCCTGAACAAGCCTTTAAATAAATATTTTACATGCATACATGCAGATATAATTCTGAAATTTGAGCTTATTTCACAGCTTGTCACAGCTATTTGTTACGGTAAGCCCTAACCCTTGAGTGCGGGGGCGAATCTGTAGCTCTGCTTGCAGACGGCGCCAGTCTCTGTCAGGAGGGGAGGCACTACGCCACACTGGGCCAGACCGCACTGGAGCGAGAGGCATGAAGATACTGGTCCTGTTTATTTGTTACTGAACCCCATAGCGAAGGCCCGGCAAAAACCCATTACAGCGTTCTCCTAGTTCCTTTTGTTTATACAGCGCCCTTCGCCATGAGGATTCAGAACATCTCGAATGAAGGACAGCACCTCCAACTACACACGTCTCCAGCCACCACACGGGGGCGCTGGTGAGGTAGTTCTAGTCCAGAAGGCAGAGCGCCCCCTGCTGGTCCTGCCCATTTCCTTTATAAAACTCTCGCTAGGGAACACGGAACAGTGCTCTCTGCTGGGACTTCCAATTGCCTCAGCCAGCTGTACATACCCCTGCGACACTCAGAATAAATATACGAGTTCAGGACGCCTCCCCGTAGTCCTGGCTTTGATCCCGTTGCCACTGTTCGGTTTTGAGAGTCAAGCTGTAAAAAGGCGTCTGAGTGAGCCTGGAAACCCCCTGAGACAAACACTCGATAAAGAACTCAAACAGACAGTTTTATTTCTGTAGTGCTTAGCGTGTCTCTTGAGCGGACCAGCCTGTCGGAGAGTCGACAGTTCTCGTAGCCCCCCAGCGCCCCTGCAGCGCCCCCCCCAGCCGCTCAGCCGGCTCCACCCGCTGACCCCACCAAGCCAGATGCCGCCATGATCTGCTTCCTGAGGCCTGCCGGGTCGAGCGTCCTGGGGCCCCGGTGAGCGGCGGGCTGGGCTCTGTGGGCCCGCAGGCTGGGGGAGGG